GAAGGAATGGACAGATTCCTAGATATACATGAGGTACGAAAACTAAATAAAAAAGTTATAAAAATTCTGAGTAACCCAATATAAGTCAATGACATTGAAAAGGTAATTAAAAATTTACCAACAAAGAAAATTCCAGGTCCTGATGGTTCACAGAGAAATTCTACAAGAAAGTTAGAGAAGATTTAGTCCCAATACTCCTTACACTCCTCAATGAAATTGAAAAGAAGCAATGCTCCATAATTCACTTCTGTAGGCAAGTATTACACTGACACAAAAAGTGAGAAAGACCCAAATGAAAATGAGAAGTAGGGGTCAGTCTTTCTCATGAACATAGATCCAAGAATCTTCAATAAAATTCTAGCAAATAGAAAGCACCAAATCATAAGGAAGATTATACTCCAAGACCAGGAGAGAGTCACTCCAAAGATGCAAGGATGGTTCACATATGCACATCTATAAATGTAATATCAACAGAGCCAAAATAAAAACCACATGATCATGTCAGTAAGTGTAGAAAAAGCTTTTGAAAATATCGACACTCATTAATGATGAAAACCCTAGAGAGCTGGACAGATAGCTCAGCATACTAAAGTGCCTGCTTTATTCAGACGCAGGGGTTGGAGGTTCCACCCATGGCCTGCCATGCTGCATCTGCCCCTAGGGTGTGTTGAGATGCAAATGGGTCTGAGCATGGTGGTGGGTTCCTGTAATCCCAGCACTTGGGAAGCTGAACACAGGAGAATCTGTACAAGTTTGATATGTGTAGTGAGACCCTGTACACCCTGTTATCTTCACTGAACACAAAAAACAAAAACAAAAACAAAAAACCCTACAGAAAATTTGAATAGTTGGCCTACACCTGAATCAAAAGTCATCTATAACAAACTAATATTGAACATGATTCTAAGTGGATAAAAACTGAAAACTGTTACTATAAAGTCAGGTAAAAGACAAGGATATCCACTCTCAGCATTCCTTTTCAATACATTTCTGGACTATTAGCCAGTTCCATTAGACAAGAGAGAGAAATAAAAGGAATAAGGACTGGCCAAGAAGAGGTTAAACTATCATTATTTGAAGATGACATGATACTTTACATGGGAGACCCCCTAAAAAGATACCAAGAAACCCTTATAATTAGCAAATTCGATAGCAGGATACAAAGTCAACATCAAAAAATTAATGCATACCTCTACACGAACAAAGACATAAACAAAAAGCCACTGAGAGATAAGATGGAAACAGCACTCTTCACAATAGCATAAAAAAAAAAAGGAAAAAAAGAAAGAAGTAAAAGAAAAGAAGAAAAAATACTTTGGAACTAATGTAACAAGGAAACTAAAAGATTTATACAATGAAAATTACAATATTATGAAAAAAGGGATCAAAGAGGATTTCAGAAATTGGGAAGATATTTCTCGCTTCTCAATCATAAAAACCAATATTTTGTTACTGACCATATTCACAAAACTGTTATAGAGATTCAGCGTAACCCTATGAAAACACCAGGAAAATACTTGTCAGGACTAGAGGAAACATTCCTAAAATTCATTTGAAACTAGAAAAGATGGAGAATAGCAAAGGCAATCCTAGTTAACAGAGGCAAGGCAGGAGCTGCCTGCCGGACTTAAAATTATGTTTCATAGCTACTGTGATAAAATCAGATGGTATTAGCAAAAACGGACCCAAGGATCAATGAAACAGAATTAAAAAATGCAGACAGAACTATAAACACATTCAGCCACCTTATCACCTTTTGACAAAGTAGCCAAACAGGTTCATTGGAAGAAAAAAACCTCTTTAATAAATGGTGCTGGAGAAACTGGCAAAATCTAAAACTAGACCTAGGTATATCACCACACACTAAACTAAGTCCAAATAGATTAAATTTCTAAACATTAAAACTGAAATACTAAATGTACTGGAGAAGAAAGTAGGTGGAAATACTGAAGATACATGGGGGGGGGGACAAAGAATTCTTGAATGAAAACCAAACTGCATGGAAAACATTTCAATGAATCTATGATTGGGTTCTTCTCCTATTGACAAGTTCCTACACATCAAAAGAAATCACCAACAGAATTAAAAATCCAACCCACATATTTGGAACAAAAGCTTAACCAACCATCACTCAAATGAAGGACTTCTATTTAGAGTATATAAAGAACTACAAAAAAATGAGGCCCTGAAAATTCAAAGACACAATTCAAGAATGGGCACCTAAGATAAATGCACACTGCTCAAAGGAAAAAATACAAATGACAAATAAATACAGGAAAAAATATGCTACAGCACTGGTCATTTTAGAAATGAAAATTAAATCAACACTGAGATTCCGTCTCACTCCGGAAAGAATGGCTTTCCTAAAGAAATCAATCAATTAATAACATATGCCGGAGAGGCAGTAAGGAAAGAGGAATCGTTCTCCACTTTTGGTGGGGGTACAGACTCGTGCAACCACTATGAAAATCAGGGTGGAGACTTCTCAAAAACTAGGAAGTCTCATTCAATTCTGGGTATTTTTCAAAAGAGCTGAACAAATCATACCACAGTGAAATATGTGAGCGCATGTTTATGACAGCACCGTTTGTCATAGCTAAATCTTGGAAACAACCTAAATGCCCTTCAACTGAGGAATGGATAAAGAAATGTGGTATTTTATACAATGGAGTATTACTCAGCTATAAATAAACTTGAAGTTTTTATTGGTAAATAAATACAGCTAGAGGCTAAATTTCAAAGTGAAATATATGGGACCCACCTGTGTTAACATTGTATTGTCTCCCTAGTGTAAGAACTTGAACGATTAAATAAAACCTGAGTTACAATAGATGCCGTAGAACAAACATAAACTGAACACAAAGAATGAACAATTGAGATGAGGTAAAGGAGAAAGGAAAGATAAAAGAAGTACACAAAAAGGAAAGCGAAGATAATTCTATTAATTGTTGTCAGTTTTTTAAAGGTATCAGTTAATGTTTAAAGTTATTATTTTGACCAGTGTAATGTGCCAGTATCTGTAATCTGAGCAACAACTTTGAAGAGAGCAACACGCAATAGAAGAACTACAGATGAATACCTTTCATCCTATTTTTTTAAATGCTTATTGTCTCTAAGGACTTACCTATTATTTTATACTCTTTTTCAAATAAATTTAAACAACAAAATATAAAAAGGACAAGGAAAAAATTTAAGGTCTATTTAAAGGAAGAGTTAATGTTTAAATGTTTGATTGACCTTTCATGCCTACATCTGGTAATGTGAACAACAATTTGATGAGAACAATACATAATATAACAACTATTGTTAATGTTCTAGTCTTGTTTTGAAATTCTATACCATTTTCATTTTTTTATATTGCTTTGTTTTCATTCTCATTCTTGTTATTTTTGTTATTTACCTCTTAAGATATGAATTTAGAGACCACTGTTGTCCTGAAACAAAATGAGCAAACAACTGTCAATTTTCTGACTCTAATCCTCATTTTCTTTCTTTTTTTTTTGAAGGAACACCAATGTCTATTAATAGAACAATGAATACACAGAATGCAGCTCATACATAAAGAGTTACTATATATTCTTAAGACAGAAAGAACTTCCATAGGCTACACCATGGATGGACTTGAGGACATTAAGTTACATGAAATAAGTCAGAAAGACAAACACTATATGATTTCACTTACAAGCTATCTACAGTAACAAACACATAGAAACAGAAAGTAGAACGGTGGCTACCAGACCAAGGAAAAGAAAAATAGGAAGTTGTTTAACAGGGTAGATAGATTTTCAGTTTTGCAGGATAAAAACGTTCTGGTGATCTGTTTCACAATGATGTGAGGGTGCTAAACATCATAGAACTGAACCATATGGCTGAACTGTACAGCTAAAAATAGTTAAAATAGAAAATACTGTTATATGTTTTTACCATAATAATATTTTCAATATTAGAACAGTGGTGGGGGACTTGGTGATGATGCAACACAGGTGTCTGTTAATGGAACAATGAATAAACACGACGTGGTTCTGCATAATGAAATACTATAGAATCTTGAGAAGGAAAGAACTCCTGCCATATGCTGCAACATGGATGAACTTCTGTCTAGTTGAGACTTTCCCATGCAAGATGCTGTCAGTTTTCCTCTTGCATTCAAAATAAGGGATAGGGCCAACCAGATAGCTCAGTGGACTAAAGTGCCTACCTGTAGGCAAGCTCAAGGACTGGGGTTCGATCCTCAGCACCACATGCCATGCTGACCCCATTCCCAGGGAGTGCTGAGATGGTCATTGAGACTGGGTGTGGTGGCACACACCAAGTGCTGGGCATAATCCCAGGACTTGGGAGGCTGAAAACAGGAGGATCACTACAACTCCAATGTGGGTAGTGAGACTCTGTAAGCCTTGTACAAAATACAAAAAACTAAAATAAAATAAGGGGTGGCAGTGCTGAGGAAGAAGCTTTAAGCTTCAGGATAGGGTTCACTAACTTTGATCTTCACTGTGGTGTGAAGGACACTGTACAGTAGTCATATTTATGTCTCCCTGATTAAATATATCAGATTCCTAAATGTGTGCTCTTCTGCTCATACCTGGATTCCCTAACCAGCTGCTGAACTGAGGCAACCATGAGGGGAGAATCCCCACTATTCATATGTTCATGAAATCCCTCATTTCCAGTAGAGTCTGTGCCTTCCCCTGTGCCTTGCAATCCTGCTCCAGAAAGCCTGCTACATATGCACATCTCCTGCTCATCTTCCTCCTTCCCCTGATTGCCCTGATATACACACAGCCCCAGTTTCCACTTCAAGCTTTTGAGTCCCCTGAGTCAGCCCAAGTAGTTCTCAGCTTTTTCTATGGTGAGTTTGGGATTCAGCTTTCCCAGGTCTCTTCCCTCCACTACCACTCTCCTCATTTTCACTAAAGAAATAACTAAGTGTTCTCCTGAAGGTGAGATGTTGGAGAATCATGGGAACAGCCTTGATCATGGGAACTTATCCAACTTACATTTGACATGGGCATATCCATCTCTGATTCCAATTGCAAATCTTCATCCATGGTGAGTATATTTTGACCAGTAGCAGATTCATTGTGACTTTGACTTTTCTTATTTAATACTAAGAAAAAAAAATACAGTGAATGGAGGGCTATAGTAAAAATACAGTGAACGGAGGCCTGTGTCCTCTCAGTTTCTATTTGTGTATTTAAGTAGGCTCCTCCACTTCTATTTCATTGGTCGGTCATGAGGAACCAGTGGTGGCAACCTAGGCACAGGCACAGCTGAGTGGTTTCTTTATTTCCCCCAGTGCAATAAGCTTTTCTACCATGCCGATTTCTAATCTTATAGATTCCTTTTTAAGAATCAAAAGTATTCATTATGCCAAGAATAGCTCATCTTCTATAAAGATATTATCAAATTTTATTCTAATTTGTGCTGTAACATAATAATGTTACTGGACTTATAAATCTTATTTATCTTTTATAAACCCAGTGATTTTTTTAATAGTGAAGTTCTTCATGAGTATGAGACAGAGGGATTTTTTTTTTCCAGACTGGGGATTGAACTCAGACCCTTGCACTTGCCTGGGAAGCTCTTATTCTACTGAATCATCTCTCTGGCCCCAAGACAGAGGTTTTTATTTAAGTACTACCTCATATCTTCTGCCACAGAAGATATTAATGATGGAATAAATATCCTAAAAGAGAAGTAATATTAATTGATCTATATCTTTATAATGCATCTATTTCTAACACATAACTTTTCCCCAAATTTACTGTCATTTTCTAATTTTTCTAAAAAGGTAAAAACGTAGAATTGTCAAGAATTCACTCTACTTTTTGTCACATCCTTTGTGACCTCCAAATCCTCTTCGTGCAGTATATTAGAACTTTCTATAGTGGTGATGCTCTCTAACTTGTCAATTTTTGACACCTGAACTATGAACATTGCTGTAGAATCTACGGTATATTCTCCAGAGGTGACATCATGACCAAGTTGGGGTTCTAGTGAAAGTTGGGAGCATTCACACTTACATTTTGCCTTCTCTTTTCTGAGATGGTCAGCAGTACTTTCTAAATCTGGTATCTTTTTGCAAATTGTTATCAGTTTTTCCAGTCCTGCATCATTTTTGAACTTTTCAACCATCAGGTCAGTAAAACTAATTCTGTCATATTGTGCATGCTCCCTTCCTTTAAGGTTTAACTCTTCAGATAGTAAGGATTTTACTATTCGAAAATTATAGTCACTCATACGATGTAAGCCTCCCAGCAAAACAATTTCCTTGAAACTATCTGCCATCTTTCAAATAATAGGCGAACCTGCAAAAAAATGGCATATAATATTTCATTATACATGTACACAGGAAGTTTCAAAAGAGAGAGAGGTCTGAATACATGATTTACATCAGTGTCGGCACTAGTCAGAAGTGTCTATGCAGCAGAAAAGGTCATAAATACTAGTTACTAGAAAATGCATACACAACAGCTCCATTACACATCCCTAAGAATATCCTCCTTGACAATGATGTCATGGATGGATGTTGGGGAAGAATTTGCAAATAGGCACATCTGACAGCACTTGGAGTACAGATTATGCAGTGTCAAACTCTCTGCCTCCTATTTCTCTACTTTACTGACTGAAGCCTATCTCCGGTATATGTCTGTTTGCTCCTAACTTTTCCAGCATCTATGCTTCTGTCCTTTGCTTCTTTGCTAATTAGCTCTCATTAGCATTGTGTGTCCTGTGATGTTGGACCATGTCCTCTGTAGCCCTATCAGTGTCAGACGTTGGAAGCCACATGTGTCCTATTGCAGGATCAAAGAATGTATAGGCTAAAACTACTTTAACTGTTGACCGATTTGCTTTCTTAATTCTCTTTGGTAGAGCTTGATTTTTGGCAATAAACTGTGTATCAGTCATGCTGAAATCTTTTTAATCCTTTTTCCCCGTTTATTGTACAAATAAAAACAACAAGAAACCCTTTCATCCATAAAGTATTGTAGCATGGCTGCTGAAGTCATTTGCATCTTTTTAATTCCTAAGCTTTTATATTCCTCACATTAGATTCTTTAGAGTTACATAACAAATCTTGATTTTTTTTCCCTGTATTATTATGTTCCTTGTTTCCTTTATTTTTCCTGGAAAAGCATTTCGATTTTTCTTGCCCTTATTTCCTCCCATTCTTCCATTGTGATCCATCTGAAATTTTATCTTCAGGAAGCTTTCAGAGTTCCCAAATGTACTGAATGATGTGGCTCTGGAGCTCTTTAGCATGTGTGCATTTTCTTGGTGACAGTACATGGTATGGCTTTGGATTTTTTTGTTAAATTTACAAATTCTTTTGGTTTAGAAATAATAAGTTTGTGTGTATTTTGTGTTATTGAAATGTTCAAATTTCTGAGACTATGTTTTTATTTTCCTTTTGAAGAGAAAAGCCAATCCTCAGTTTGAAAAGGCCCATTGACTGAGGAGTAAATCCATACATAGACATATTGTAGTGAGTGAAATCAAATGACTTTTAAATCCAAACAATGAAATTGTATGAGCTACTAGAAGTAGTGGATTATCTATAAATATTCAAGAATAATATTGAAATTTTTTCTGAATGGCAACATAGTAACAAGAGGTTCAATTTTTGTATAATACTGAACTTAAATCCCTTTTATTACAAAATTAAAATGTTTTCATAATAGAACAATTTGTTTAATAACTGACAACAAAATACAGTTGGGAAATATCAGATGTCAGATGACATAGAGCTATGAGTAATTGTTCATTTAAGTGAGAAAATTCAAGTATTTTGATTAAATTGTATTAATTTTGATAGTGGCATAGTGATTCAGATTCATATGGAATTGCTAGTAGCACAGTATTTAAACATTAAGTGGACTTATACAATATCCAAATTCTAAATTTCGAAATGTATTATGCCCACATGTATAGAGAAGGTGCTCTCAATTGTCATCCAAGAAAAAAATTGAGGGACAATTTAGAAAAATATAAAGATGCTATTTGAACAGTGTGCTTTTGAAAGGGAAAGACATGTAGAGGAACACAGATAGGAAGTGATATTGAAGAAAATAATAATAATCAAATCTGAGAATCCTACAGGCCAATATTAAGTCAAATGAAAACAAATGACTAAGCATGTGAATGCTTTAAAAACACTCTCTGGTGAAAGAAAAAAAAAACAGGAACTATTAATATGGTGGAGAATGGAAAGAAATAGAACAAGACACATCACTAATATATTCACCTTAAAGCATAAGATACAGGTATAAACTTTAGAAAGATAGAAGAGAATACAGAAGTGCCAGATGTTAAGGGAAGACAGTAACATAAAGTCATAGTGTTTAGTTATAGAATATAACTGAGTCTAACCAAATATACAATTAATTATGAAATATGGTATGACATCTGCCCTTATGTTGTTAACAAAACTTTATTTAAATGAAGAAATATTAAAAACAAGTTACTATGTAAAAAGTAACTTAAAATGTCAGTCATCTATATTAATGTAGCTTTAAATATCAAAGGTGGTAGGTGAGTTTGAAAGTATTGTCAGATACTGCATGATGACAAAAAGTTCAACTGCTAGGAAGACACATCTGCCTTAATTATACTTTTTCTATTAATAGGAATATTCTTTTTGGTGTTACTATATAATCCTTTGTGATATTACAAGTAATAATGTTGATTATTTTTCTATGTTGATATATATATATATATATATATATATATATATATATATATATATATATATATATATATCCTGTCACGTACAGCGTACGTAGAGTATGTGCATATGAATACATCTACATTATGACTTTGGAAGAACTACATGAAAAAAACCACCATTTTATGATATGTATTGCATTATGCATGTGAATTACTCATTGAACGAGGTATAAATCATTGTTTAGACTTACAAAATTTGAGCAATAGAATCAGTAAACTTAAATTTTATCATTCATATAAGAATTCTGGAATCAGTATTTACAATTTCCTTTCTATTCAAGTAAGCATGAAATTTTGTGACAGGCTCTAGAGAAGGACATTTCTAAAAAATTAAAAGAGGGAATAGAAGGGTTTCTCACTTAGTGCCTCACTTCTCAGGCAGATCTTGTCACACAAGGAGAGAACTTAATCAGCTTCAAGATCTGCAGAGCCTACTCTCATTTGAAAGAAGTATTTACTTTATTACTTGATGCAGAGGAGAGTTAAATAAAGAGTGACATATACTTATAAATATTAAGAAAGAAATTGTTTTAATGACTGCTTCTGAAAAATTTTATGTAAGGTGAGTCCATTTGTTCTCATGATTACTAAAACTGGGGAACTAGCATGTAATAAAACTTAATGTCCAGATGCACATTTTACTTAATATTATTTCATGGTGTTTTTCATGCTATTGTTCTTTCACTGTATTGTACTTGTATTACATGACTGTATTATAAAATCTGTAAATTGGGGGCTGGAGAGATGGCTCAGTGGTCTAAAGCACCTACTTAGAACAAGCTTGGCAAGGCATCAGGGACTGCGGTTCAATCCCCCAGCACCAC